CTCAACCCCCCCCCCACCTCCACATCTGATATACATTTGTCTGTGTAATGGAGCTGGTTTCTGAAGGCCTTTTGTGGAACTGCTTCCATAGTTTGCAGTACAAAATGTCTGTTAAAATACCATTGTATTTTATCTGCCCAGAGAGCCCTCTTGAAAGCTTAGTTCAAATGATTTATAAGAACCTTGAAGGGTTCAATCAAGCTCCTGTTAAAATTAAATCTAGTCTTGCCTTTTATTATAATAGAACTTTAATATGCAGTCAAAACATTTTTTAAAGAAATGCTTTATTTCTCTGTCATTTGCTAAAGGTTTCACCTGAATAATGTTCAGGTTTTGATTCACTGGTGAATATCTAACCTGGCAGGATTACCATGCTACATCTAATAATTACTACAGCAGCAAAGAAGCAGAGTTTCCAGAATGGGCTGTATTCAATGCCCTGAAAAGCAAGTGAATTCCCCTTTGCAATATATTGGAAGAGGTGGAAAATATTGGTCCTTCTGCCCTTCCTGGACTTCTTCAACAGAATGAAACATTATGAAAATGTTATAGGAAAAAAGAATTGTGTTTCTTTTTAACAGACTGGAAATCTATTGTCCAAAACATGGACAACAAATAGAGCTTTGAAACAAGGATGATGATGATGATATTTATTTTTAGCCACTTATGCAGACAGCATTTTTAAAGTGCTTTACAAACATTAATTAAATGAGCACTTGATCACTGACTTTCCAACTCAGGCACAAACATCATTAATCTCAGCAAACAAATAATCTCAGATTGCTTTTCTTTTCTTCTCACTTCATATTTACCAAAATAATTCATTAATCTAAAAAAAGATTTCTCTTTTAGAATCTTGCACAACATGGAAATTAAAGTATTGTTAATTGCTCCTTTCAATTAATTAATAACAGAGATTAGTGGAGATGCCTCACTTCACACTTTTATTGCGGTCATTGTTCATTTTATTGATCTTAATGGTTTTTAATGTCAATTTCTTGAGAAATTGAAGTGGTTCTATTCTAAGTATGTACAACAAACTGCATTAAAGAACATTATGTTTTCAAAGTCAAGCATTCAAAAAGTTAGGAAAAAACAGAGCCAAGGTTGCCTATACAACTTTATATACTTTCCGCAGGTGAATGATGATACATTTTTATTATATAATTATGTTCTATGGAAGCACTGTCATCTTTTCCTATAACAACAGCCTTTTTTGTTTTGTTTTAAGGACATGAAGTGGATTGAAGAAAAACAAGCATTATACAGAAGAAATCAAGAACTTGTAGAGAAGGTATTTTGTGCTTAACATTTCCATTCATTTTCAAACCATTAGAAACCTAAGGAATATATGTGATTCACTAGTACTATTCACTCTCACTGTCCAGAGGGTGATTTTTCTAGAGGGTGTGGAACTCTCTCAGGAATAGCCCCTGAGTTTCCCACACAAGTTCTTTCTCTGCCTTGGCTATATTTGGCAGCATAGAGTCTATGATTTGCAATAATGATAAATGCAAGCATATTTGCTGACTTTAAGTAGTACATTTTTAGTTCAGCAAGTCATCTAGCTTCAAACAAAGTATGGGGATAGAGTCAAATCTTCTGATGACTGCTCCACAGTGCCTGAGATCTAAGCAGAATGCTACTGGAGTTGTGGAATCCAGAACCACTATTTGATACTGAAGGCTGAATCCTAATTTTTTGCTAAATCCAAGCCTTCTACTTCAAGCTGCATGCCTTTTCCATCAAACTGCATTCACAGCAGATCTAACATTCATACAAAACTAAAATTAACAATACATTTGTGTGTGTGTGTGTGTACACACACATATGCATATATGTACTTGTGTGTATATAATGTTTTATTTTACAGATAAAACAAATGGAAACAGAAGAAGCTCGACTAAAACATGATGTCCAGGATGTTAAAGATCAAAATGAACTCCTGGAATTCAGAATACTAGAGCTTGAAGTAAGCCACCATAAACCATGCAGTCCTTTTCACACTTATTGTAGTGTATTAAGCTGGAAGGCAGTCAGAATTATAGAGTCCTTCTGGAGGGTTTTTTTGTTTTTGTCTTCATTTTATCTGCTTATAGTGCTGAAAACCAGTTTCTTATAGCTATTTTAATGGAGTACCCTATGCTACCCTAGTTGTCTTACTGCATCACTTTTTAAAGCTCCAAACTTTTATACTCTAGTTAAAGTCCAGTTTAAAAATCTTTTTTACTCTATCACATCTGCATAAAAAAACAAACAAGACAAAATCAAAATGTCATGTAACAGGGGAGTTTTTATTGTCATTGCTAAAAATAATACATTTTATAATAACTCAGATTAAGGGCACTGTATGGAGTATACCATGTATATTTTATGATTACATTTGTCTCAGTGAATCTTTTTGTTAAGCTGTTAACAACATTTAAAAAGAACGTACATCTTCAACCCTTGACCAACATTACAACTTTTTCTGCACAACTCCAAAGGAAAAGTAACAGCACAGATAGTAATCTCAAAAACTGATTTGTTTCAGTAATCCCTTTGGATATCAACACATCCAGGCTTCTTCACAAACATAGTTCCTTACATGACCAAAATAATGGCTGGACAACCACGGTTGTGCACACTGATGAACAAAGGAGGCAGAAATGATTACTGCTACTGCGTAGGCTTACTTTACGCTGCGTGTGAACCAAGGCCTTCGCTGCATGTCAGTCTGGAATTTTCCACAAGGGTTAAATCTTTCTCAAAGAAATTGTTCCCCCTTCTCTTCCTGTTAAAATATATGGGCATGACAGGTAGAATGAAGGGCTTTCCACTTCTTTGTGTAACAGAGAAAGAAACTTCTGGATAGCATTACTCAGCAATTTCCTTTTTAAATAAATTGCTCAGTTTTTCAGCGTATGTATTTTGGAATGCCTATAATGTATGCTTAATGAGGCTGCATCTTCTAAATAATATAATGCATCATTTAAAACTGTAAATCTCCATAAGTATAATGATTCTGATTTTAGGAGAGAGAAAGAAGATCACCTGCTATCAACTTTCATCACATTCCTTTTACTGAAGGGAAAAGTCCTCTCCAAGTTTACTGTGAGGCAGAAGGTGTAACAGTAAGTATTCTTTTTTCTTATGATAGCTTCCAACAAACACAGTTTTATGCTCCATTCTGATTGATTGTTTTCTGTGCAATTCTCTCTTGTTATTAGGATATTCTAGTAGCAGAGCTGATGAAAAAATTGGATATTTTAGGGGATAACGCCGTAAGTGTATGTTCCTTTAATAAATTGTGCATGTTTCTGTTAATATTTGTCCTCCTCTTAATGTGGCATTATGGCAACCTACAACATATTGTATTGGTTTGTTATTACATATCTCTTTTGCATTAGGATTGAGGCACAGGGCTGCAAATTGAGTGCTTCTGGCTTCCTATGAGCCACATAGGAACCACATCGATCACACATTCCTATGAACCACATTGATAACATATTCTTCGCTTTCTGTTTGCTTTGTATATTTGTTATTTGATTTCACATTTTAATCATTTTCTGCATTTAAACTTGGTAAAGCATCATGAGCCTTAGATACAAGCACTTTTAAACTGCAGAATCAGGAAAGGCAGACATTAATTAGAAATAATTATAATAGAAGGGTGATTATACCTATGGAAACCTCTTCCCATCATATAAAATAGTTTCTGTTTGATGTTTAAACTTTTTTTTTGGTCAAACTCCTTTTTTGATCATTTCTTTTGGGAATCTCCCACAAGGCCTGAGTTACAGAATTTATATGGTTGCTCAGGAGGAGTACTGGGGAGGAGAAATTCACTCCCTACCCCAAGACCGAGCTTCAGGGCTCTCATACTGTCTCTTACCTCCTTCCTCTAGCTGCTACTTCAAACTGGGCTGAAGTAGAGGACACAGCCACACCACTCTGGTTGTGCTGGAAACTGAAATCATTGGATCTATGTAACTAGAGGAGTCCCCAACACTGACATTCCACACCAATGCCCATGGTGAGATAGGTGTCCATAGCCATCAGGTCTATGGTGAGATAAGGAGTTACAACAGACCAACCTAGTAGCCAGTAATAGTATGGGCAGAAGTAACAACTGAGATGTTTCAAATGCCTTTGAAACATTTCAAAGAGCCAGTTCTACAAATGTACAAGCCCTTTGAACTATTCCAAAAGCAGCTGAAGTTCTCCAAAATAGTACTTTTTGGAATGTGTGCACAAGGACAGGGGACCCATAGGACTTGCAGAATCCCACAGTGCTCAGCTCTCAACCCTCCCCACCCCTTTCAAGGGGGGTTGGGCAGGGGGAAAGACAGCAGGGCAAACAAAGTGTGCCAGCATTTGCCAGCTCCCATACACTGGTCTCCATCCCAAACCCCTCTCTATCTCTCTGCAACCCTTCTCACTGCAACAGAGAACTAGAGGGGACTGGGGCCGCCAAGCCTGGCATTGACTGGCCTATGAGTGCAGGGGTGTCCAGGACCAGGGACCTGACAATGCCAGTGTGGGAGGGCACTGTTAGTCCCAGCCACTTTAAGGGCTGCAGCAGGCAGCAGCCAGTGACCATTTTGAGACCCAGAATATATGTAAGGTGAAGCAGCAGTTTATTGCTGGCAGCTGAGAGAGAACTATCAACCAGCAGAGCTGAGGCTCAGGAACAGCTTGGAGTTTTATGGGATGGAGCTATGGGGATGGAGGAGGCTCCTGGTCCTGGGCATGACCTAAAACTGCACCATGCCAGGGATGAGTGGCCTGGCTGGGCTCCTGGTGGCCTGGGAGCCGCCCAGGAAATGTCAGGCCAGTTACCACCCTGGTGAAAGGCAGCTCAGAGCATCTTAATAATCCCAGCTCCCACAACTGGGTGGGTAACCCCCTAGTAGGGCCTGAGAAGGCAGACCCATGTAAGAGTGTGGGCTAGTTTCTCAGAAGCCTGACTTGAGGCACCCTTGACTGGTCAATGCTGGGGCCAGGACCAGAAGGGTCAAAAGGGCCAGAGGCCCACCACAAGGGACACCCAGAGCCGAGGGTCTGGGGCTCCACCTGGCCTTGGAAGTGAGGCCAAGGCCTGTGTGGCCAAAGGTCCTGGGATGGGGGGCACACTCAAGAGGGGGAAGAGTGCTGGGAGCTAGGCAGCCCAGAATGAGGGCGGAGTAGGCCACCTGATTAGGAGGGATCTAGTTGGGGTCCAGACTAGAGAGTTATGGGGTCCAGTGTGGGGCCAGAGACATTAAGAACTTAGATGTGATCTGTAAGGCATGGGCTCCAGTGTA